TTTATATATTTTATTTATTATTATATTTACATGTCCTCAACAACACATAACAACTTTTTTCATCTTGCCACTGTATATCTCAACAATTCTATACAGTAAAATTTATGTTCTGAATCAAAAAGTATGTCCTAATAGTTTCATTGACGTGCAGTCAGCTATAGGTCTTCCACCGCTCGTCTACTTTAGTTGTCGTATATTAATGCAAACCGCTTCACTGATAACACTGTTGTTTCTTTATTTTTAAATATTGATTCTATAAGTACAGTTGATACTTGACTCTGTCCTTAATTATACATCTTTTCGTTACAAAACAAGGCTGTTCTTTCAGAGCGAAGACCGACGTCTGATACACCCTAATGCTGCTATATTTGTGGGGAATATAGCCTAACAAAACATTTCTATAGAAAAAAATACAGTGATCCATATATTTCGTTATAAAGGGCCGCATTTTCCGACGCAGCGCGAAAATTGTACAAATCTCATCCTTGTGCCAAATTTCCCAATGCTTTTAAGGGGAACGAAATATAAGTAATAAATCGAGTGTGCCTCGATCTTGATAAGGATTTCCAGTATCAAGTTTGCACTCTGAAAATACGCATGGCAATTGCTACTCATACAAAGTTCATGAGAGCACTAACTCCAAATGAAGTATATAATTCTAATTCATAACCGTAACAGTGCAAATAAAAAATTATAAAAATAATAACAAACTAAATACGATAGTAGACTAAACTCTCTGAAATCTGCTCATTCTACCTCACTTGACCACATCTCATCCAGGTAAACATTACACAACCTGCTCAATCCTTTCCGCTCGCCTTGTTTCTTGTTATCTGATTACTCTATTATAGTCACCAAATGCTTTTTATTACAGATTCAGAAGAAATCAATAGGTAAATAAGCCATACTTCATTGCAATACTTAGATATTTTCTTAGTTACATCTTCTCTCAGCGTGACTTGAAGTTCTTTGTGGTCGAACTTCTGCGTGTCTATCGAACAGCTTTTCACTTGTGACAATCATTTCATTAATGACATAAGCGTCATAAATTAATATTTGTGCCATGCTTGAAAATACCATCCGTTAAACTTACATAAACGTTTATGTTTCAAATCGTATTTCTGAAAGTTCCTATCACATCAACACCCGCTCCTCACTCCTGTAAATGAACCATTAACAGATAAAAGCGCCGAAACCAGACCAATTGCCCGAGATATGTTACATATTTTAAGATGCTCTAGGATTTTGAAACAAATCAACAGTGTTTCATCGGTTCCATTGTACCAACTCCTTTATGATGCCACAAAAGTAGTTTCCATGCTTCTTTCAGATTGCGAGATAGGCTTTTCCTGGATCTTACAGTATCTTCTTCAAATCATGAAACCCCCATTTAATAAATATAGTCTGTAAGACATTTGAAGAAGGGGCCTGAAGAAACATGTACCTGAAAGATTTCCTAACATATCTAAATCAAGCTTCATTTGCTATGGCAAGTTTTTAAATAATTATTTAAGTTTCTTTTCAGTTTCTATTAGAATTTTTTATTAATAAATTAATTTAATCTTTTTATGAGGCTGCTAAATTCTATGTGAATATCCCACGTCCTACCTTTATTTAACGCAAAAATGCAGGCGCCTTTTAGCCTTTCGAGAACCGAAGCATTTTGTATTTTAAGCTTCTTTCATCTCTATCCTTTCGCTTATATCACTCTCGAATCTCCACCTTCTCATATGATTAATTATTTGTGTTTAACGTTTTTTTTTTATATCAGCTGTTTTACAGTACCTATTTGGCTTTTTTTTTATTAATCTTAGTCTTTTGGGGTATTTTTTTTTTTTTTTTATATGAGTTATTTTTTTTTTTTAAATTATTTTTGTTTTTTCATATAAATTTATTATTTATTATTTATTTATTTTATCAGTTATTTACTTATGTTTTTATTTTTTATATTTATTTTTTTACGTTTTTTTTGTTTGGTATATTTTTTTTTTTTCTATTTTTTTGTTTTATTTAGTTTTTTTTTTGTATCTTTTTTTCTTTTTCCTTATTTTAATTAATTTGTTGCTACTTTTTTTATTTTGGTTTAGGTTAAAATTCGTCTTTGTCGAACCCTTCTTCACATGTCTTACAGACTATATTTTATATAAAATGCGGGTCATGGATTGAAGAAAAGATACTGTAAGATCCCATGGAAAAAGCGCAAATAATTCTCAATACGAAGAAAAATG